ACCCTTTCCTCAATGTTAGGCTTCCACGACAGCCGCCGTTGATCGCCCAACAAGTTACCTGGTTCAGGTAACCTTGATCCAGATCAAAAAGGGTGTATAGCAATCGTCCCTTAACTAAAAGTTACACTTCATCTACATAGGAGATCACCCGACAGCCCACTTTTTCCAGTTCCAAGGTCCTTTACCACCGCAATCCAGAGCAGAGGAGAGGGAATACCACGTTGTGGCGTGCTCCTATTGACTCTGCACTGAGTGCAAATGCTCCCCCCCACTCCGCCGCGGCAGTTATGTCACGAAGTAAGCTGTAGTTAAGCCTTATTAGGTCGGTTTCAACCCCCAGATTATGAATATACTCGACTATTGCCTCTGGAGTGACCTTGTTGAAGGGCCCTTCGATATCGAAGAAGGTCCCTACTGCATAATCTTCACGCGTGAAGGCTTCCTCTGACCACTTTACCAATGTATTCAGGGCGGTATTCACCGACCTTTTCTTGCAATAAGCATATTGAGCTCTTGAAAGACAGTTTACGAGGAATCGCGTTTCTTATGTACAGGTCTATCAGTTTTTAGAAAAAGCGTTTTTCGTTTACGTGGTACAAGAAATTATTGCCGCAGTGTTAAATATTTTTTATCGAATAAAAATATTTCTCTTCATAAATCTTCAAACAATAAAATTATGATGCATATTTAACTTTATTCTTTTACTAACTACGTTTTTGTAACCGATAATCTCTTCTCTTATATACATACAAAAAAACGTTGTTTTATGTGCTCGTAACCCATCGGAACCACGCACAATTTGAAAAAAAAATTGCTTAGAGTTATTTTTAATCACAATTCCATTGTTGGAAGATTTCTGAAGTGAAAGATCTCATCTCGATCAAATATATTTATATTTAACGATTTTATAGCAATTCTACTAAAAAATTATTTTCCCCATAAAAAATGTATGTAAATGAATGCAAAGCTCTGCCGGCACGCTAAAATATTCAACAATTTCAAACAAAAAATACGGCTCTCCATATTTTACATTTTTGCTAATTCTGGNAATGTTTGTGCACTTATAATAATAAGAAGTAAGTAAGTGACCTACTGTGCAATGCAAAAAAATCTCGCAGTTTTTGGCTTTCCGATCGCACCAAATTAAGTCCTTGCTGACCTTGTAATATTTAGTAATTTTAGGCGTTTTTACTTTTGCTTTAATAGTTGTTTTTTTTGTGTACGTACATACATATAAATGTACATATGCGTATGTATAAATGCAAAAAAGGGAAACAAGTATTGATGAAAAAGTTATTGACGCCAAGTGTAATGTTTGCGTTTTAAATTAATTTGCTTGCTAAAAAATAGCAGCACTAACTGCAATTTCAGTGAAAAATTATTTTCTTTACCTTCTGCCAGTTTTTAAACTATTTTAAAAAAATTGAGGAGGTTATCAGTTGGTCGGAATATTCTTTTTTATTTATGCTTTGGACCACGTTAACCGATTTCTGTAATTATTTTTTCAAAGGAACGGTGGTACCTCCGAGGTGGTCCCATACTCATTTGATTCAGATCCGGTCATGGATCATGAAGAAATTAACGGCAGTCTTAAATGTTTTATGAGAATTGAAGTTGGTTTTGTTTTTTGCTTAAAAATTACTTGCCATATTGCTTTCGTGAAACGGCCTATATGCATCGAGATTAGGGTCATATGTATGTGGAGCCCTGCGACACGGCAGAAATATTGTGAGCTTCAGTGGATTCACTCCGAAATATTCGGCTCAAAATTTGGTACCTTTCTCGTGAAAACTAACTTCAATGAAAGCGTCAAAAAACCTCAAATGAGATCCCCTACGTACATTCAAAAATCGTCCTAGGCGATTTCAATGCCAGGGTTAGGAAGGAAGGGATATTTAATCACACCGTCAACAAATTCAGCTACCTCGTTGAAACATCCTCGTTATCTGCGTGAACGATTTCTCTGGACCGCCAAACTAGGTCGACGATCAAATATTGACTCGACTCACACGAGGAAAGTTCGAAGTCGAAAATCTGCAAATATAACTGGTCTCTGAGAGCACTCTTGTACAAACGCATATATGCGAGCAAAGGGCTCAGTACGCTATGGCTTAGATGTAGGATACTGAAGAGGTATATGAGCCCAAAATAGGTGAGTGCGAAGGACTTAAAATGCTGGCCGGTAGGAAATATTCCCATCATTCATTCAATCAGAAAAATAATGTTATGAAAGAACATTTCTCCACCCTGCTAAATGGCAATGAAACTAGCAGAGAAGATGAATCCGAGCCCATACTCGAGCGCGACGGAGCCGATGTACTCGTACATACAACTAATCGACTATGACGAGGTACGACATTCCCACGACAGCCCAATCTACGTACCGGAATGACTCGGGTTTTACCCGACCAAGGGCTGTTGTTTCGGCGATCTAACCCCGTTAAGTCGGTCAAGCGTTGTTCGTCCATATGGCTACATCTGCTACGCACTCTTCTGCTCAGGGCTGGCATCGAGTCAAACCCTAGGACAGAAACCTACACCTGCTGCCGATCTGGGTCGGGCTGTTGTAGCCGCTACAACAACAATAACAACCACAAGGTACGAATCGAAATTTGCTTCACTACACTCTTCAAGTGAATTTCGATAAGTTTCCTGAACTTATCAGAAGAAAAAAATGCGGCATGCGAAAATTTTCCAACAAATACATAAATACAAATACAATATTTACAACATAATTTGTACAATAATACATTTTCCTATTGTTGCATTGGAATCAGGTATTTTTGATATGCAACATTTCATTTTATTGACAACTTATTCTGGAGGTTAGCCTGTTTACGCCTCACACACCTCACTTGCTGTCCTGACTAGCTTTGGTTTTTGATTTTATTTATTTATGTACGAGTATTTCATTCTGATTTCATGCGAACGTGATAGGATTGGGCTGATGTCTATAGCATCTAAAAGTCATTTTGTGATGACAATTTCAATTGCATCGTTCAGTTCATTGTGTTAACTCGATAACGACGGTTGTGTGGTTACTTACGCTCATAGCTCAAAAACAGGTGCCTCAATACTTACAAAGCTAATTTATACAAAAATTGCTAAATGCAGTCGATTTACTGTCAAAAGCACAAATTATAACGAAACATAAAACTAAAAGAATGCTAAGCAAAAAGCGTTAAAAATTGTGTGATAAGGGAGTGTGCTAAAGATTTGGCCAATTAAGCCAAAAATTTCTGGTGAAAGAAAGAAAACACTTTTTAAGCAATCAAGCAAACAACTTTATATCTACGTACAAAATACCTTAAATATTTAATTTTTTTTTTTTCGCTCTCAAATGCAATACCTTTCTAGCGTCTTGCACTGATTATTTAATTATTTTTGCAGTGTTAAAAGAAAAAAACAAATTATCTACAATTTTTGCTTTGCCATTACAGCTTACAGCTTACAACATTTGATATTTGCCGGTAAGATTCGAATTTGTGGTGAGGCGCTTTGCTTGTTCACAGCAAACCACAAATCAATCAAACAAATTTTTGTTGTTGTCTTGCATGCGTCGTCTACTGCTCTGTCACAGTTGTTGTGGTCGATTGTTTGTTCTTATTGTTCACAGTGGTGGGTGCCGCTGATGTTGTGTGTCGCGCCGACGACGCAAACTAATATCTCCGTTTGTGTGTAATTCTATATTTTTTAATAAATTGCACTAAAAGCGCGCTTTGTTCAAATTATTCAAACATTATACTAATAATAGTTTGCTAAATATTTGTTGTTATCGTTGCAAGTACGCTAGTTATTTAGCTTTCGTTTAATTACTGCGATCCGAGTGAGGCGTATTTTTATCGATATTTTGTTTTTTGGCTGTTGTTTGCCTACGACGATTTGACGATTTTTATTTTCCTGGCGTAAGGCATTTACCAGCGAAGAAACTACATACATATAAGTGCAGAGGAGCAAGTACGAGGTGAGTTAATATATACATATGTATGTATTTTTAGGTTGGTTGGGCACTAAATTTAATGTTAAGTGCGATGTAGAATGTATGTATGTAAGTACGAACATAATTTTTGAATATTTGAGTTTGAAATAAGGTCAATGATACGTGGAAAAAAAATCATTTTGAGGATTCACAAGTCGTCTTAGACGTAGTAATGAAGTCTTAAAATTTTTCAAAGTAAAATAACGGTTAATACCTTTTTAGGCAATTTGTAACTTCAACAAAATATATATCTACATAATATATATATATAAATATGTTATTGGTTCTTATAATACCCTATAAACCTTTTAATAACACAGGTCTGCAAAAAAATGGGTTCGGAATGTTCTATAAAA